GCCAGAGCACTCTCCCAGAGCCTCTTTCTAGATCCCGTTGTATTTATTTCCGCAACGGGCATTATTTCTAGTGTCCTTATAAGAGGGAACTGGATAAACATCTGGAGCAGAGGTCCATCAGTGGTTCTTAGCCACAAGGTATAGAGAGAAACTCTCAGTCTGGGACAAGGGATGCTCTGTATTCTTTGTGCTTGGGGGGGGGGGCAACAGTGGGAGGGCTTCTGGTGTCCTGGCCCCACTGCTGGACCTCCTGATGGCACCTGGTCTTTTTGGCCATTGTGTGATACAGAGTGTTGGACTAGATGGCCCATTGGCCTGATCCAACATTGGCTTCTCTTATGTTCTTATGTTCTTAACCTCGCAGTGCCGATGGAGCATTCTCTTCACACAGGAAGAGCACTCTGCGTATGCTCAGAGGGTTTGAGTGGTATTTTTTCCAAACCGAAGATGCCTTTTGCTCCTGTCATGTGGCTTTCCAGAAGCGCATGTGTGTATTATAAACTGGTATTTGCTTTATTCCCATTTAATTGTCGGGGCTTCCCCCAAAGGCCTGTGGAACCTGTTGTTATGGTGAGTGGAGCGGGGGAAATCTTTGCAATGGATCCCTGGATGCCCACCCCCTCACAGCCCTACTTGCCGGGGCAGAGGGAAGGCGCATGAAGCCCTTTTTTAATCCGTGGCACGAACACACCTCACGGGCAGCCCCCCGGCAGTGGGGCCCACAGAGACCTGCCGCCTGCCTCACTGTTGCCCGGCAACCGCTGACAGCAATGGAAAATTCACATACAGCACGTCATAATTTTTTTTTTTAAGGAAAAAACTTTTCTAATTTGCTGCAGCTATTATGAATAATGAGTCTGGGATTAGAGTTATGATCAGCCAGGAATTAATTCAGAATCTCAGGGAGTAAAACTTTCAGTTTGCAGGCGCTCCAACGGCCTCTTTTCATCAGCTGCCATGTTATGGGTCCCGCCAGCTCCGTTTTCCGCCTCTGGTTTGCCTCTTTGAGGAGATTTGCGGGTTGCCTTTTGCAAACAGTCCATGTGGGAGATTCGAGAGGGGCTGTTTTCCACATCTTTAGTGGCTTCCCTCCCGGATTTCTAGAAATTAAAATTCAGAGGCAGATACTGATGGCCTCTAGATAAGGACTGTCGGGAGCCATGCTGGTTCTGAGAGGGGGAAAAATCCCCAAACGACAGTCATGCGAAATCTTATTATTTAGGACCACCACATCTCAAAACGATAGCTGTGTGGAATCTTATTAACAGCTGAAGATGTTCCTTTACACGGCAGCTCTGAGAAGTCCACAAGCTCGCTACGTTGTGATGTGCTGTGTTGGGCCGAACTGCCAGGCTTTGGACAGCCATTTTGTTGTGGAACCTTGCCTCTAATTCGAGTCTGTGGTTGCGGTCAGACGGCGTGCTGGGAGCGGTTTAAATTGCTCCGGTCCCGATGCGTGTTTTTTTTAAAAAACCTGGAGAATTGCAATCACACTCACCTCCCTGTTCCGGATCGCTGCATAGCCACATCGCTCCCCAGCGTCCACACATGGGAGATGCGTCGGAGGTTCCCCCCCTCAGTTTGGGCATGCGCAAAGGCGGCCATCTGTAGAATTAAAATTTTTGCGCATGCGCAGAACAGCGATTTCCACTTCAACCCAACTGCTGTAATACTTCCCTTTAAACTTTTACCCCTAAACTGGCCTCTGTGAGATCCCGAACTCGTTTAACCAACAAAACTAGGCACAGTTTAAACATTGTTTTTAATAACGCGGGAGCGGAGCGTCGCCTGTGCGCATACCGCCGACACTAAAATAAAATGGTGGGTGAAGAGCGGAAGCCTCGGGCTTCCGAGCAGAAGTGGCTCGACACCGCAGGAGTGATCAGACGTCAGAAAATTGCGGCTAGAACCAGAGAATCAGGAAAACACCACTTGGGGACCTGGTAACAAAATACTCCGTTTTAAAGGGGGGTTGAACCGGAAAGCGACGGCTGGGGACGGTGCGCAGATGTTGGGTGTGTGAACGTGGATATAAAATCCGTTACTGAAGCGTGCTGAAAGCGGACTAACTGGCCCATCTGAACGCACCCTGTGTGGATGGAAACAGATAAAGACATTCTTTATAGCTCAGTGACTTTTGGAGAGCCAGTTTGGTGTAGTGGCTAAGTGCGCAGACTCTAATCTGGGAGAACCGGGTTTGATTCCCCACGCCTCCACTCGCAGCTGCTGGATGACCTTGGGCAAGCCATAGTTCTGTCAGAGCTGCTCTTGAAAAACAGCCGTTTCTGTCAAGAGCTCTCTCAGCCCCGCCGACCTCACAGGGTGTCTGTTGTGGGGAGGGGAAGGGAAAGGAGTTTGTAACCCGCTCTGGGACTCCGAGTGAAGGGTAGGGTAGAGATCCAATCTCCTCCTCCTCCTCCTCTTCTTCTGCTTCTTCTTCTATTCCTCCCCACTCAGGGTGGGGTGACACTTAAGCCACTGGGGTGATCCTTAAGCCTATCACTCATGGCCTGACCTACCTCACAGGGTTGGTTTGAAGGTAAACTGGAGGACAGGAGAACTGTGTATCCCAGCCTGAGCTCTTTGGAGGAAGGATGGGATTTAAAAAAAAACATAACATAATAGCAGGGTAGAGTTTGGACTATTGAGGAGGATCTTTTCGGTCTTGTACATTTTTTCAAGCATATTTGCCACCGATAGAACAAATGTCATTTATTGCATTCTGCTTTACTGCCGCGGAGCCCAAGGTGATTTCTAAATAAAACTGCCCACAAGCATCCAGAATGACATTAGAAACTCATTAAAACAGCCAATAGCAAAAGTTACCACCAGTCCTGTCGTCGTTTCTGTGTTGGACCAGGAGTTGGCAGATCCAGGTTCGACTCCCCACTCGTGCCAATGGAAGCTTGTTGGGTGACCTTGGGCCAGTTACACATGCTCAGCCTAACCTACCTCACGTTGTGGGATAAAATGGTGGAAGGGAGAACCCTGTACACTGCCTGGAGCTTTTCAGGGGAAAGGACAAGATAGAAATCCATAAAATTCAGTGTTAAGTCCGTGCTTAACAAAATAGCCAGAGAGTTATTTCAGCAAAACTCAGGTTTATTTCAGCTCGACGATCAACTTCTCTGACACGGTACAACTTCTCTGATAGCCCGAACCAGCTTCCATTGTCGCTGTTCGGTATTTAAACATTCCGGGCTAATGTAGCCACACCTACTATACAATTATCAACCTATCAGGTTGATCGCATAACAGACCAATCATAAGCGTTCCCACTTACAGACATTCAAATGTGATTGGACACAATGCTTTCGGCGCGAATCCCTGCCGAAGCCTGAAGCTTAGCATAGCTTCTCTATGGGATGATTCCACGGTCATCCTAATGCATTCAGGGCAGCATCTGAATACATTACATTCAGCATACAGTGCCTCAGTAGAAACGGTGGTGGAAAATGTTGTCAAGTCCCCGCCGACTTGCGACGACTCCGGGTTCTTCAAGGAAAGAGACATTCAGTGGTGTTTTGCCATTGCCTACCTCTGCCTAGTGACCCTGGACTCCCATTTGGCGTGGGGTCGCCAGGTCCGACTCAGGAAATATCTGAGGACTTTGAGGGTGGAGCCAGGAGACTTTTGTGACGTCACTTCCAGGTCAGAGATCAAGGGATGCCACTTCCCAAGCTCCACCCCTCCCAATGATGTCACTTCCAGCACACTGTGCCAAGACCCCACCCTTTCCTGTGATGTCACTTTCCGGGCACTTCCCCAAACCCGCCTCTTCTTCCGAAGTCACTTCCTTCTTTCAAAATTCAAATTTAAATACACTGCTGTGCATCACTTCCCACCCGCACCTTCCCCCCATTTCGCATTACACGATTAAAGGTTTGCATACCCTCCCCCCTACCCAAAACCCAACAAGCAGCTCTGGTTACCGTAATGTAACAGAATAGCCTTAGGTTTGCCAGGTCCCAGAACCAGCGGCAGGTGGCACATGGCAGGGTGTCTTCAGAAGTGCCTCACTTTGCTTTTAAAATGGTGCAGAATAAACTGATACAGAGCAAGAGTTGGGCAGCTCTCCGCCTGGCACCTTGTGTACCGTCTGGGAGGCTCCAGGCCGAACGTGTCTTCCTGGCCAGGCTTTTAAGTGAAAGCTGCTCTTATAGCTTTTTAAAGTTGATTTTATAGCCTGCCTGTGGTCCAAGGGCTATTTCAAGAGTACTGTTTTTTATGTTGCTGAGCATTAGTTGTACGCTGCTTCATTGTTAAACATTAATAACTGCTGGGTTTTTGTGCCTCCCCTGCCCCCCATCCCCTAAATCTCCAGGTATTTCCCAGCCTGGAGTTGGCAACCCTAAAGTTCCTGTGGAAGGGGGAATTGGGGGAGAGATTTCACCTAGAATCGATGCTCCCTCTAAGCTGTGGAGTCTTGTGAGCAAAAATCTTACTTTGTGAGCGACTGGCATTAAAGTTGTGAGCCAGCGATTTGGCTGCTGCATAAGTTAGTTTGTTCCAGCCATCCTTCCTGAGCGGAGACAAAAATGTGGGACCCGGAGGCTAGAAAACTGAGCTAGCTCACACTAACTCAGCTTAGAGGAAACACTGCCTGGAATCTGTGGTATGCCGTAGAGACCACCTTGTGAAGCTGCCATTTCCTCCAGGAAACCGAGCCCTGTAGGCTGGGGATCCGTTGTAATTCTGGGAGAACTCCAGGCCCCACCTGGAGGTTGGCGATCCCTGTAGCCTGCAACGCAGCTTTGAGGAAGTGCATAAACGTTGAACAGGGCCGGCACCTTTGCAGACAGGTGGGTTGTGCCTGCAGAGAGAGATTTAGAATAATTTGAAAGGTCCTTGCTTTTTCGTGACTCTGAGCAAGCCTAGGAAATGAGAATATTCTTCCTAGACTAATTATGGAGAGAGAAAGGAAGAATTTGCTCTGGCTAGACAGCAGGATGGGCGTTTCTGGAACTTCTCACCTCTGACCCGTGTCTTTATCTCAACAGGAGCCAACAGCCTCGAACTCCACGTGCCAAAGGTGGTTGAGGCAGAAGTCGGAAAGGAAACCTCTATCTCATGCAACTTCGTCATCCCCGAGAACAGCAGTTATGCCTACGTCAAGTGGTTTTATGTGAGTCAAAAAACACATTGGAAATGGTTGGGGGTGTCGGCAGGACATGTCCTTGTATGTTCATTGGGCACCACTGGATTTGTAGGCTGATCTCACAGGATCAGGCTAATAGATATGCAAGCTTTCGGGTCGCGCAGAACTCTTCATCAGGAACACTGTGTTGGCAAATGTTCTTTCAGAGCTGTTCTCTCAAGAGCAGTTCTGGAAAGAGCTCTCTCAGCCCCACCCACTTCACAGAGTGTCTGTTGTGGGGAGGGGAAGGGAAAGGAGATTGTAAGCCACTCTGAGACTCCTCAGATTATAGCTTTGGGAAAAGTGCAGAAAAGGGCAACTCGAATGATAAAAGGGTTGGAACCAATGTTCCCTCTAAGCTATGGAGTCTTGTGAGCAAAAATTCTACTTTGTGACCTACTAGCATTAAAGTTGTGAGCAAGCGATTTGGCTACTGCGTAAATTAGTTTGCTCTGGAGTCATCCTTCCTGAGCTAAGAGAAAAATCTGTGAGCCGGAGGCTAAAAAACTGTGAGCTAGCTCACACTAACTCAGCTTAGAGGGAACACTGGTTGGAACACTTTCCCTATGAGGAAAGGTTAAAGCGCTTAGGGCTCTTTAGCTTGGAGAAACGACGACTGAGGGGTGACATGATCGAGGTTTATAAGATTATGCATGGGAAAGAGCATGGGTCAACCGTGGGAGGGCTTCTAATGTCCTGGCCCCACTGGTGGACCTCCTGATGGCACTGGGTATTTCTGGCCACTGTGTGACACAGAGTGTTGGACTGGATGGGCCTTTGGCCTGATGCAACATTGGCATCTCTTATGTTCTTATGTCCTTCGGGTAGTGAACGGCGGGGTATTAATCCTGTCTCCTCCTCCTCCTCCTCCTCCTCCTCCTCCTCCTCCTCTAGCCAATTAATCTTGATGAACAACACTATGTAACTGAAGCTTGAACTACCCTGTTTCTCCGAAAATAAGACCTACCCCAAAAATAAGCCCTAGCAGGATTTCTATGCATTTGTGGCATAAGCCCTAGTGTGTCTTCTTGAGAAAAAATAAATATAAGACAGTGTCTTATTTTCGGGGAAACACGGTAGTAGATACTAGTGCAATAACCTTTACCTGTTTTGCAGGATAAACCTGTGCGGAGTTATTCCAGTCCAAGGCCATTCATTTCAATAAGTTTACCCTGGAGTAACTCTGCCTGGGATTACACAGTCCCTTGGGACAGTAAAAAAAGCTAGGTTTGAGTCCAGTAGCGCCTTAGAGACCAACTAGATTTTTGCGGTGTGAGCTTTCAAGCGGCAAAGCTCCCTTCACTGAATACTTTGAGCTTTGATTCCCGAAAGCTTAAAACCAGAAGATCTCCAAGGTGCCAGTGGACTCGAATCGAGCCGTTCCGCTGCAGGCCAACACGCCTACCGCCTCAAACTGTTGTGGGATCGTAAGGTGTTCTGGACGGTGAGATGCAGGGGTCATTTTGTGCAGGAGCACACAGGAGCGGAGCTCCGGCAGTAAGGAGCTCAGGGGGCGGGCACATGCAACAAGCCCCGCCCCCCCCCACTCCCAGCAGCCCTCAGTCGGGCCATGAGAAGCAAGAAGGAGCCAGGCAAGTTGCAGAGGGCCCCCCCCGGCCCGCCTTCAGGTACAAGCTCTCCCTTCTCTGTGAGAGCAGATCTGCACATCCCCCCCACCCCCATAGCTAGCCATCCAAAACAGTCCAGTGGATCCTGAGCGGTGGGTGTTACCTTTTGACACACTTCCGGTGATGTCAGGGGGTGTGGCATATGCAAACAAGCTATGCTAATAAGTTATGCTAATGAGCTCCTGCACCTCTTTTTCCACAAAATGACCCCTGGAGATGAATTCAGCAGAGCAGGGCTAGACAACATACTGTGTAATCCTAACCAGGGTTACCCCGTCGTACACTCATCGGTTTCAGTGTACTTAAAAAGTGTTTAACTCGGCTTAAATAAATCAGCTTAGAAGGTTGCAATTCTGTCTAGGATTTTGCTGATAAAAGATTCTTCTGCTCGTTCCTAACGAAGGGAGCTTTGACCCTCAAAAGCTGATACCCTGAAACTCTGGATGATCTCGAAGATGCTACTGGAGTCCAGTCGAAAAGGTCTTTCTACTGGTCCTGAAAGTCCCGCACTGCCACCTTGTGGTAATAATGCTTATTGGCTGATGGCTGGAAGGAAAAAAAGCTGTTGCGTAGAGAGAAAGGCCTTGCATAGAGAGAAATCGCCTGCCCCTTGCTTTGAAGGCAGTCCAGTACTCCAGATCTGGGGTGCTTTAAGTGCAGGCGCACTTCAGCATCATCAAGGTTCTGATGTCTGAAGGCTTGTCCTCTCAAAATAAATTCTCATTTATTTATTTATCTATCTGATAGGATAGGAGCTGCGGTGGCTCAAGTGGTTAAGACGCTGAACTGCAGGCTGTGGGAGGTCGGTAGTTCAGCAGTTCGAGACCCGAGTGTGCCGCATGACGGAGTGAGCTCCCGTCTCTAGTTCCAGCTCCTGCCAACCTAGCAGTTCGAAAGCAAGACATTGCAAGTAGATAAATAGGTACCACTTCGGTGGGAAGGTAACAGCGTTCCGTGCACCTTGGTGTTTAGTCATGCCGGCCACATGACCACGGAAATGTCTTCGGACAGCGCTGGCTCTTCGGCTTTGAAACGGAGATGAGCACCGCAACCCTAGAGTTGGATTTGACTGGCTTTCGAGCAAGGGAATCTTTACCTTTACTTTACTATCTGATTTATACCCCGTCCTCCCCACTTTACAGCAGGCTCAGGGCGGGGTATAAATCAGATTTACACACAATTTACTTGTGTGGATGTGGGCAAGCAGCCGCGCCCAAAACCGCAAGCTTAGAGCAGTGCCAAAGGGTTACAGATGACTTTAAAAATAGGCATAAGCAGGGGTCATTTTGTAGAAGAAGAGGTGCAAGAGCTTATTAGTATAACTCATTAGCATAACTCATTTGCATATGCCACACCCCCTGACATCACCAGAAGTGTGTCAGAAGGCAACACCCACCACTCAGGCTCCACTGGACAGTTTTGGATTGCTAGCTATTTGGGGGGGGGGGGCGCGCAGATCTGTCCTGGCAG